TTGATTCAGAGTAGGAACTTGGGTCTCCCACATCCCAGGTGAGTGCCCTAACCACGGGAATATAGAGTTGGTCTTGTTCTCAATCTCTCCAGTTGGAGTGATTTCACTTGGTATAAATAATTAAATAAGCTTTGGGTCACAGAGAGAGAGGGGGACTAACACTATAGCATGGTTTTGACGAATCATTTTCCAATGAAAAAACGTGTTGTGGAAAATTTCTGAACTAGCTCCACATAATTCAGCCTCCTTGCACATATATCGTATAATACAGTCTTTAATAAATGATCACATACTATTTTTTCCACAGAAATTGTGCCTCATTCGATGTTAGGCAATCTAAATATAGCAGTCACTACAATTTCCCCTATAACAACTTTAAGATGTTAAAAAAAACAAAAACAAAAACAAAAAAACAGAAAGCCTTCCAGATGTGTGAACTGCTAAATGAAAGCAACCACATGAGCCTGTCTTGTAACCTCTGTCTTCCTTTTTACCTCCCCAGTGTTTAAATTATTTTCATTTGTACATCGTGTCGAAGTTTAGCAGCTGAGGGAGCTATGCACATTTACACTAGCTGAGATCCTGGCCCTTAGATCAGACGCCTTTTGGGGTAGGAACTGTGTCTGCTACTTGTCTCTATAGTACTGAGCATATCTGGAGTGCTAATAATGGTACCAAAGTTTGCTTCCTTCTGTGTTGCAGGTCCTTTCCCCTTGTAATATCTAGATTAAAAGAGATTAATAAAAACCTTTGAGAGGTTCTTCCATCATCTTTACATCACCACCACACACTTGAAGAGATGCTGTTAGGGTTTTAACCACCCACTCCTCAGTTGCTGGTGTGGATGACAGCTGTGCACCCCATCTCATATTGTTGATTTCTGTCTCGTGTTAGGAAAATATATTAATTCCATTAAATCAACATATTTAAACATTAAACAAAAGACAAATACTTCCAGTAATTATTAAATACTTTGTTAAAAAAAGTATCAAGCAAAATGTCTTCTTGTTTATTTCAGAGATCTTAATTGTGCTTTCTTTTGACAACAATTGCTGAAAAAATGTGTTATAATTTAGTATGATTTCATTGTGAGCAAAGGGTGGAGAGAGGAGTGTGATGCAATAAAATTACTGTATAAGTCATATTTAAAACCAACAATCTGCCAACAGAGGAAAATCACTAAACTGACATTCACTGGAGAACCGCAATATATAAAACAAGACAATGTCATTTTGATTTTCTCTGGACAAAGATGAAAAACCTGCATCTGCCTCTCCAGTGACACAGAACAGATTCTTCCTGTTGGCATTCTATTTTACATTTTTTATATATATATATTCTGCAAATGTATCTCTCAAATACCAAGCACGATCATCAATCTATCCTTTGCAATAAAAGCCTCCACTGGAGGCAGATGAGCTGACAGAATTTCTCTTGGGATACAGCAAGTTCAGCCAATAGATAGAACATCGGCATATAAGGAGTTTGAGGTTCATTTCTTTTCTGGAATTAAACAACAAATGGTACAGCAGTCCAAGCAGGAACTGGGAACAATGCCATGGCTGCTGCTCTAACTTTCCTCTAGAGCAGGGGTTCCCAAACTTGGTTCGCGGCTTGTTCAGGGTAAGCCCCTGGCGGGCCGCGAGACACTGTGTTTACCTGGAGCGTCAGCAGGTACGGCCGCTCACAGCTCCCAGTGGCCACGGTTCACCGTTCCCGGCCAATGGGCGCTGCAGGAAGTGATGGCCCGGCCCGCGCTGCTTCCTGCAGCTCCCATTGGCCAGGAACGGTAAACCGCGGCCACTGGGAGCTGCGAGCGGACATACCTGCGGACGCTCAGGTAAACAAGGCATCTCGCGGCCCGCCAGGGGCTTACCCTGAACAAGCCACGAACCAAGTTTGGGAACCACGGCTCTATAGTGATCTAAAAAGAAAGTTTGGGGGATATCCATGATGAGAAAATCACCAGCCTTGCCACCAGTGGGTCTATATTTCACTATTTGAATAGCGAAGAACAAGAAAACACAGACTGAAGAGTGGACCAGTAAATAGATTAATGCATACATGCACATTTTAGTACTTACACATCTTTTGTTGCACAAAAGAAAACACTGGAGGATCATAAAGGTATGAGTAGCTCAGCCATAGCATTTAGATTGTTAGATCATTAGTATGTAATTTCAGTGCTTGAGTCTACACTACAGTGTGTCTCTTTAAACAACAACTTCAAAAGAGTGATACTTTCCCACGTCTTCCGCATCAAACAAACAATGAGAATAGAGGCTTGTTGTGGATTACGGAACCTTCCATTTCTAGGTCACTGGTCTGAACACAACACAGGTTACTAAAGCGTAACCACCAGTAGCAAATTCTTTGGGTTCCTGGTTGTAGGGGTGAAATCCTGGCCTATGAAGTCAATAGCAAAACTCCTATTGACTTCCCAGGGGCCAGATTTCACTCCAGATATTTATTTTTAATGAATTTTTATGTGTAATTTGGCAAATTACACCCCCTGTTTTAGGAGAGAGAATTAGTTTTTACTGGTGAATAAAAAATTCCTACACTCCAAAGTCTTGCTCCCCGAGGGACAAACTACTAGTGAGAACAGAAGAATCTCTACTGCAAACAATATGCAAAATGACAAAAATTGGGGAATTTTAGATATTTTCAGTGTATATTTTATTTACAGTAAGGGAATGAACCCTTTAAAAGCACCTGAACACAAGTGGCTTTGTCCATATGCTACAAAGCACATTTGCAAATAGCAAGTTCTTCCTAGTAAGAGTCTGAGTCCCTTCTCAATTTTCAAAGAGAATCAGGCGCCAATAAGCATCTAGCATTCATGCTACTCCAAATAACCAAACAAATACACAGCTGAGTGGTTGCGAGTTGAAAAGACGACATGTTCCTTTAAACAACCTTGAGAACCAGCAGAACTACAACCACATTGTAACCACATTAGGTTGAAATTTAGCTTGTTTTCTGTTACACTCTATCCCTTTTCATTTTCATGAAATTTAATAGTGAGTCTTTCTAAAATTCACAAACACATCCAATATGCCAGCTAAAATAAACAATCATGCACATACATAATTAAAGATTTTAAGTTGAAATAATTCAAATAGTAAAACTAATTAAATTACTCCCACCCTCGAACTAAATATACGCTAGTTTAGGAATATAATACAGAAATTCATGACAAAGTGTTAAATTGCAAAGGAATCTATCCACTGTATCTCATTCTGGAAAAAGGTAATTTACTAAAGAGGGTTTATAAATGTGACCATCACTTTGCCATTTCCTATCCCAGACTCATATAAGATCGAACTTCACTTCATAGCTTGCATTAAAACCAAAACGGATACAACATTCATGAAAGACGTGAGTTGTCATCAAACCCAGGGATGATGAAGATGTCTTGGCACCAGACTAGAACAAAATGATACCATAATCAAAGCCGCCCGGACACACTGTGCTACTGTATTATTCAATCATAGTATGTTGGTATCAAGTTACTTTTAATAAAGGCAGAAAGATACAGAAACTGGTCTTAGTTTTACCTGTGGAGTGCTAAAATTAACATTTCAAAACTCATACCCAGAGTTAGAGTGGTTTTTTTTAAATATACCCTTCCTTTTCTATGTACTGTGAGGAGACATTGTTCCTCCAATTTAGAAAATGCTGACTAAAATTCCACATAGTGGAAACAACTGCTAGATTCTGAACAATTCTACAGCTTGCTAGAAAATCATTGTCATTTTCAAAATAGTCTCAGGGTCCATCCTCTGGATCCCAGTTGATCGTTAATTCTTTGTAATCCAAGATAATCTTTTTAAAGGATAAACAATTGAAACTAAACTATCATGATAATCAAAGTGAAGCAAATTCTAGTGGGCTATGCACAAGCCTGGACTCCAGAACAGTCTAATCCTAGCTTTGCTGCTGACTTGCTATGTGGCCTTGGTTAGGTCACTTAACCACTCTTAGTTTCTCCATTTGTAAAATGAGGACAGCAATTACCTACCTCACAAGGGTATTGCAATGATTAAAGGTTGTAAATCTTTATCTCTGAAGATTAAAATTATGAATTATTATTATTTATTTGCATTATGCTAGCACCCAAAGACTTTAGGCAGGATTAAGGCCCCATCGTGCTAGGTGCTGTACAGTCAAAGATAGTCCCTGCTCTGAACTTACACACATGCTTACCTTTAAGAATAAGAGCAGTTGGTCAAGCAAAGGGGTGGGGGGCTACCAATCAACTCCATAGCATTTCTTGGTCTCTTGGCTTGTAATGCAATAACTTCTGAAGACCTTGTCCAAAATTACAATGAACATTTTACGCATCAATGGGTGTAATAAAAAATAAGGGGTGACAGGGAGGGAGGACAAAGATTACAGTGATAAGGCTGCATCCATAGCCTACTGGAGTCAACTAGAGCCTGTCAGTTGACTTCACTGATTTTTAGATCAAGCTTTAGAGCTGAGATTTTAAATGCTGGCGAAGGGATTTGACCAACTAATTGCTGTTAAAATTAATGAGAACAGGGCACCCAAAACCCTTCCATGGCTTTGAAAACCCCACACTGTGTTAGCGTTGTGATGGTTCAGAGATGTGTAATTTTAAAGATTATATACATAAATGATTAAATAGATACATATACATCAGCAACCCCACTGGCCCTCTACCTAGCAGTTATCTTGCATTATAGAAGCACTAAGTACAGTTTTAATACAGCTTTATAAAGAAGCATTTAAATGCCCTCTATTAGGTGAACAAAATGAAGGATTTTATAACAGAATTCACTGCAGCACGATTTCAAAGTGTATGCAAGCTACAATAGTGCTAATGTCTATTCCAACATTTTGCAAGTACTACAAAGGAGTTTAACTTTGTTTTAACCAAACGGCAAGACAATTACTTTTATTTGTTTCTGTTTTATGTAAAGATACTGTTAACAGTGACATTCAATTTAGTGTATAACAGCACAGGTACCTACCTGATAGGTAACTCTTTTCTTTCCATCATCCCCTGTCTGAGGCAAGGTCAAAGGTCCAGAAACTATCCAAACATCCTCAAATCTCTCTGTCAGCTCCCGACAATACATTTCCATTCTGCAAAGATATCCCTCAGGTCAGGGAATGCCAGTGGGTGAACTTTAAATTTTTTTAAAAAATCATGCCTAGAACATAGAGGGCAAGACAAACTACTCTCAAATAGTTTTGGGTGCATTTTCCAAAATATGGGCCTAAGCTGCATGCCAAAAATGGGTAAATGCACACATAAGTTGAAGTTGTCCCATCTCCTTCATTCACCCCCCATTGGTTAATTTACAATTGGTCATGCATTTTCTGCACACATTTGAGACCCCAGATTGGCAGTTCCATCACATTCCCTCAAAACTCAAATTCCCCAATCATTTCCACTACTGAGTTCTTGATCACTTTGAATAAATAAGAATTTTTGGGGGGCTGCATCCTATCTCATTTCAAAAGGTTTTTTTATATTATTTTTTGTTTGCTCCTCCATATTTTAGCGGAATTAAGGTCCTTCAACATACTGCCAAATATTTTTGTAAAATATATAATTAGAGAATTTTGTAAGCTGCATTTTTTAGAATCTTAAATGTCAGATTGCAAGTGTGGCAGGCATTCTCTCACATGCATTGATGCCAATTGCAGTCTCCAAGCCCCTTCTTGCTCTTCTGTGTGAAACTGATTAGGAACAATGTAACCCCCCTGCCTTTGGGAAAGGTATCAAACTAAACTGCACGTTTTGGGGGTTCAGAAAAATACTTAGTGAATTTAGTTTGGAGCATGAAAAGTTTGTCCATGTGAACAGCTTGCCAAGTCATGCCTAGTTTTCATAAAATGGAACTGATTATAGCCACTCTTTATATGGTTCCTACAGGTCACAGCAGCTTTTTACGTCAAAATGATCACTGTGGGGACTTCTATTGGAGAGGAGAGGGGAGGTGTGTCACATTTGGTTTGCAAGTCTCACTTTGGTCACCTTTGAATAGTCAAACGTACAAACAGTTATTTCATATACTTGGGTTGGGTGGGAGGGAGAGAGAGAGAGGAAGAAATTGATGGGATAAATTAGAAAAGAAGCATGGTATTGAGAGAGATTTTTTGGTGGGGAGAAGTAAGGAGATACAGAAAATATAGAGGTGGCAGATAAAATGTAAGAAAAAGAGAGAGAGAGAGAAAGAGCGATAAGGGTATTGAGAGGAGAAAATGAAAAAAGAATACAGACACTGGAAGACAACACTAGAAATAATCAATTATAAGAAAGAGGCGAAAGGAAAAGAGACGTGAAGCCAGGAAGGGGTAGAAGAAAAGAGAAGTGAAACAAAAGCTAGAGACATAGTAAGTTTCATCCATTAAACCGGCATCATATAGAAAGCTGACTGGCAATATGAACTGAATAAATAACACAGAGTAGTTTTATTCCTTTAAATTGCAGGGGGCCTGGCACTGGGGGAGGAGGGGAGTGGTAACAGCGATATTTAATTCTGCTTAGTAGGCTAAGACCTTGGGGCTGTAGGTGCCTGATGCAATTTTCAGGCTCTCCCCATGATCTCCTGATTAGACAGAGTTCTCAGCTGAGAGGAGTAACTGAGGCTCCCGACCCTAAACTAGCACATGCCCAGCTTTAGCATCAATGAAAACTTATGCCCAATTTCCTGAGGCATTAAAACAATTGAATATCTCTTAAAATGTCATAGTGCATTATTTATCCATAAAATCATATAACCTTACTGAATGCCTCATATGCTTTTATATATATCCCTGTAAAAGTAGAGAGCAGCGTTTGCAAGAATGATTAATCATTTCCTATGCTAGATTTTTAAATGTAATATTTTACATTATTTTACTATCCTCTCCTTGATTGAGCCTTGTAAAATTCATCGCTCCCTCTGATTTCTGAGCCTTAAAAGATGTTGAGTCCCACACAAGCACAGAATCACTGTTTGTTTTAGTTACTAATTAGTTTTTACCTCAAGGGAACAAAGGAAAAGAGCCAATATGAACAGTTAATACACATCATCCAGTTCCATCACCTCAAAGCTGCGATGCTGCCAGTCTTCACAAGTGAAGATTTTGGCTGGTTGTTACTTGGATGCATGTACTCCTGTCAGGCCTTGCAGGTCTCGAACCTGTAGCCATGGGAGTGCTGTGGGGAGTCGTACTCCAGTCTTCCACCTGGCAGCTTTCAGAGAGCAGCTGGGACCAGGGTTGATGAAGCCCAACGGGGGTACAAGCCACGCCCCTATGCTCTGACAGGGAGAGCTCCAAGTCTCCTGATTGGGCCACAGCCCCTATTTAAGCCAGAAGAGAAAAAAGGAAAATTTCCCTCTAGTAGTAGGAAGAGGCCCTGAAACATAAGCCCTTGTATTAGAGGCCTAGTATGAGGCCTGAGGCCTAAACTAAAGTAGTGGTCAGAGCTTTGCTGCTATAAAGCAAAGTTAAGTTGTGATTAAAAGGCAGGGCCTGCTCACAGAATCTGGCAAGAACAGGGCTAATATTGCAGAAACACACATTCCAAAGAAACGCTAGGCTCAGGCCATGCATGCAAACACATTCCAGAAGGGTGGTACCAGAACACCCCAATACTGGCACATTCCCCAAAGATAACAGGAGCATGCTGACCCATCTTAAAGATAAAGTCAGAATAACAACATGATGGATAGAGATGTTTTGATCAAAACAACAGGTACAAGGTGATGGGTGGTAACTGGCTACGTCAGAAGGTGTCAATTAACTACATCAGAGTGGCAATATGTAACCTGTTTGTACTGATGTATAAAATGGAGTCTCAGGGGGAGTGTCTTTGGCCAGCCTAGAGGGCAGTGGAAAGTCCTGCCACTGATTGAGCTGCATCCATTGTCATGGGCATACATGTGCTAGTGTAACTATAGTCATTGATCCAGGGAGCTAGGTCTGTTCTTCGTTCACAATAAATCTGGCTGGGTGCCTTCGTACCTTAACGTATCTAGTGGTCATTGGGTGGTTTGCTTAAGGTCTGCTGTGCCAAATGTCTGCGCAGAGCTAGGACAGCACACAGGGAAAACACACATACACACACAGCCAAACATCTACCACCACCTACAACTGGGCTTCACCCTGCCACAGACTGTTGGTCTGGCATTTACCTGTTTGTGACCTCCTGGTATCCTGATTTGGCCTGAATCTTGGTAACTTCTTCCTGCCCTCTGGTTTGTCTCTGAATTCTAATCTCCTGGTATTCCAACCTGGCCTGATTCCTGGTAATTGGCTCCTGGCCCCTTGACCCGTGCCTGACGTTAATCCCTAGGCCAGGCCACCCACGCTCGGTCTTGACAGCTCCTCTGTAACTCACAGGAGTGGGCCCCCTGTGAGAGGAATGGACCCAGCAGCCCAGCCACTACCTCCAGAATCACTGGACTCACCCGAATGGGCCACCTGCTTTCAGGTGGCTAACCAAGCCCTGCAGAATTGGGTTGCACAGATGACCTAACTCTTGATCCCTGCCCTCCAGTTTGTCTCTCAATTCTGATCTCTTGGCGTTCCAACCCGGCTTGACTCCTGGTAACTGGCTCCTAATGTTAATCCCTAGGATAAATAATTATATTCACCTACCTAAATCCCTCCTACAATTTCTATTGAATAATGCACCAAAATGACTGCATATAGTTCTTGGCATTGCCTTTTCTCCTGGAGGAGGCTGCAGTATGTAGTATGCAGTATTCTTGCACATGGCTTGCAAAGTGCTTAGGGATCCTTTGCTCTATATATATGTAAGATATTATTAGTGTTTTACCACTGACTTAAACTTAGTCTTCATCTTACACTTAGTCCATCCAAAAGTAACATCTCACCTGTTCCAGAATCCAGCATTATTCTTGTAATTCTGGGGCACAATGTTGGACAGGTAAAATGTTTCAGCCATAGCTTGCTATATAAAGAAAGAAAATAGTGCCATGTTATTGAAATGCTATTGAGATGGGCTGAAAACAAAGCCAAACTTTAGGAGGGTTTGGAATCAGAACCCATATCTAGATCCAAACTTCACAGATGGACATTATTTACATAACGGGTAAAATCAAAATCCTAGATCAGAGCCCCACCGAAGTACTGGGGCAGAAGTAGAGATGGAAAATTGGGATATGATCTTTGCAGCTCAGGCCCATCTATCGTTCTATAGAAACATTCACAAGTGTATCCACTTTTGGAGCCAGCAGACAAACAAAATAATACTTAAGCATAACATTGAATGACAGTATGGAATTAAAGGGGCATTAGTTTGTAATTAGTTTGAGAGTAGCTGGATGCCTTTTCTGAAGGGGAGGGAAATTTGCACTTACGGTTCTTATTTCCCAGATTGGTTCAATATGTTTTTGCCTTTATTTGGCCTGAAAGGTTTTCCATTACTAACATTTTACAATTTTAAAAAGATATAGGGTGCAGATGGTGGAATGGTCATCAAGACCCTGATCATGCAAAGGTTTATTCACCTGTTTAACTTTACAGATTGAGAGTACAATTAAGAAGGTGCATAAACATTTCAGGATTGAGGCCCAAATAATTCCAGAGAAGAAGTAATCTTGGCCTTCTTCTGGTCCTATACATTTACAAATATGTGAAAAAACATGAAAGTAAAATCTCAGGCTCTTATCCTGCATCTTATTATTTTATTTCATTTTTAAGTGCTCTTTCAGATTCTCCTTATTCATAGAAGTTAAGGATCTGGCAGCAATATTTAGAACAATGCTTAGTACAGGTAGTGGTTGTACTGTGAAATATTCCAGTTAACATATCTAACCCTATTTTAGTCCTGGGCTTCATTGTACAAGCTGCTAAACATGTTGAAACAGCTGGAAGAACAGACAAAATTCATCAGTGACCCTTCCACTATAAGTAAAATGACTAGTGCATTAATCTACGACATAACAGTGCTGCCATCACCCTGCTCCACAGCATATTACATTTCAGGACAGGAACGCACTTTCAGTCTGCTTCCTAAATAGCAAATCATCTATATTATGGAACAAAATCAAACTAGGACCAGATAGAATCAAGGCTGCTTTGTTAGTCAGCCAAAGGATTAAGGGACCAATATTTTGGCACGCTTATCTTACAACTTCATAGATCAGGTAAGAAAAGACACTTTTTGTAGACTTTAAGAGGACATCAAAGGCAAATGGTAAAGCAGTCCCTGAATGCACTGGTTTTCAATGTTTTTTTCTGGGGACCCAGTTGAAGAAAATTGTTGATGCCCACGACTCAACGGAGCTGAGGATGAGAGGTTTGGGGTATGGGAGGGGCTCAGGGTTGGGGTGCGGGGGTGAGGTCTGCAGAGTGGGGCTGGGAATAAAGGGTTCAGAGTGTGGGAGGGAGCTCTGGGCTGGGGCAGGGGGTTGGGGTGTGGGAGGAGGTCAGGGCTCTGGGCTGGGGGTGCAGGCTCTGGGGTGGGGCCAGGGATGAGGGGTTTGGGGTGCAGGAGGGGTTCCAGGTTTGGAGGAGCTAAGGCATGGCTGGGGTATGGTCTTACCTCCAGCGGCTACCGATCAGCGGTGCAGCCTGGGTGTGGAGGCAGGCTTCCTGCCTGTCCTGGCACCGCGGACCGCACTGCACCCCGGAAGCGGCCAGCAGCAGGTCCAGCTCCTAGGTGGAGGCGCGCAAGCGGCTTTGCACAACTCTCGCCCACAGGCACTGCCTCCCCCAGTGCCCATTGGCCTGTTCCCAGCCAATGGGAGTGCAGAGCCAGTGCTCGGGGTGGGGGCAGCGCACAGAGCCCCGTGGCCCCCTGCCTAGAAGCCGGACTCGCTGCTGGCAGCTTCCGGGGTGCAGCGCAGTGTCGGAATAGGTAGGCACTAGCCTGTCTTAGCTGGGCAGCACCACCGACGGGACTTTTAACGTCCCGGTTGGCAGTGCTGACCAGAGCGACCCAGTGCCTGACATACCATGACCCAGTACTGGGTCACGACCCGAACTTGTAGAAACGCTGCCTTAATTCACTTCATACACAGAATTAGAAAGGGAATAAACCTTTAAACCATCTAAATTATTCCCCTGCCAGTGCAGGGCAGCTCTTTACAGTATGTTTGCTAGTGCTTTGTCCATCAAGGTTTAAATATCTCAGTACCTGTTGGCAAAGAGGACAGTGCTGCTTTCCTCCACTAACTAAGCATCAGAAGAGACCTTTAAGGTGTGATAGGTAAATCATCCCCGTGTTACAGATAGAGAAGCCAGGGCATAGAAAGTTGTGAGTTGCTCAGTTTCACACGGCAAGTCTACAGCACAATCAGGATGAAAACCCAGAACTCCTGATTCCATGTCTTGTCCCTCAACAAGTAGGCCATGCTTCCTCTCAAAAAAACCCCATTATAAATAAATTTTAGATCACCCTCCCACTGACAGACATAAGTTAAGAAGAATTCTCACTATTGAAAATTTGTTATCTCCTGCTGGTGCCATATGTCCTCGCGACCACCCGCTCCCAATGTAGTCTTCATTGACAGCACTAAACATGAGCGGGATACTAGGATCTGGTCTGAATTTGCAGTGCCTTCGATCTGCGTTGCCTGAGGAACAACATACTAAATTGTTAGGTTATTAGCGAACCGTCATCATTACAGAATAAAAAGCTGTTTCCCAATGTGCCTTCCCAAACTGCTTACATTTCAGGATTCTATATACGATCTGAGTATTATTTTCCACCTCAATTTTGATAGAACTGTCTTAATCAGAGTAGCAATCAGACATATATCAGAATTGCATGTCTCAAGATGTTTAATCTCAACTGGCTGGTTAGTTTGATTCTGATACTTTGGACAATATTTTAACATGTCAGATGGTTACAGATACTTGAATACAATTTTAAAATTACTGCTTTCATCTTATGAACTACTGAAGTCAATGGGACTACTTATAGTCAGTTCTAAGTGCTTTCAGGATCATGTCTGTAGTTCTGAAAGCTACCCTGAAGATTGTGATTGAGATATAGCTAAAGGGATGCTACTTATTTTGCAGTTATGCAGGTACCTTTGTTACCAGTAACAACTTGCAATATTAAAACTGAAATAATTCTATAAATTTAAATTGAGACGGTTGCATATTATTTGCATTTCATTCAGATGGTGAAAACAGTTTAGGGGAATTGAGGCAATGTAAGTAATGGGTTACAAAGACTATGTGTTACATACTGAGTACCATATGTAATACAATGTGTTACATTAATTATTTGGTTTTGATCAGTTGATCCCACTTGATTCAACTTTCCCAAAAATGTTATTTCAGGGCTACATATTACATACTCCTATTTTTCTGGCACTTTATACTTTAACTAAATATCTCATAGAGCTATTCTGATTAATTCAGACTGATCCTGCAAAGACAGACATGGGGTAGATCCTCAACTGGTGTAAACTGTGATAGCTCCATTGACTAGAGCGAAAACAATTTACAGCAGCTAAAGATTTGCCCCAGGATCACCTTTAAGCACTTGAGTAATCCCACTGTCTTCAATGGGACCCTTCCAGTGAGTGAAGTTAAGCATGTTTGTAAATGGGTGTGGCGTTGGGGCCTTAGTTTATGTAGTTTAATTTTACATTGGTAGCCTCACAGTCATTAACTTCACCTTTTAAGACCACTTCTGCAAGGTCACCTACAAAAAATGAGTATTTCAGATGTACACACAGCCGCTGAATCACCAGCTATGTGTCTGTGTAAACTGTACAACCACCTCATCCTGTACCTGTAACTCTTGTCCTTCCTGACCCCTCCCCTTCAGGCTGTATGGAATATACTCAAACCCATCACATTTGTCACGTAAGGAAAATGGGACTCAGAACAGGCACGAGGACTTGCACTGGCAGATTCCTTTTACAGGACTAGGGTCATTAACCCAGCACTTCCATGTAGCCTCACTGACTTTGGTGAGACTCTGAGTGGGCACAGGGATCTACCTCCACAGAGCTCACTGCAGGATTGGTTCACAGACTGAAAGATCTTCAGAACAAGACCTAACCCCTTTATATATTTTCTGTGACGTGCCTATCCCACTTGTGGGTGCCATCAAAATAAACAAACACATACATACATACCCAGTGTCTTGTGTTTTGAAATATGTTCAATCACCCATCTAGGTACCCGTTTTGCCTGATCATAAGACAGTGCATGATTTGTGTAACATCTGGTCTCTGTTCCAGCTACAGGGAATCCATACTGTTCCAGCAGAGACTCTTCCACTGGTTCTAAGGGGGGGAACAAACAAAAAGCGACCCTCAGATGAAACAGGGATTAGAAACAAAAGAGGGAGGGGAATGTCTCTCAGGTTTCTGTATTGAATAACGCTCTATTTGAATTTAACGGAAAACGTATCTAAGACCAAAAAAAAAGACACTTAAAAAAATAACTCATGTCCACCAGAGACATATCCATGCTTGACACCAAACTTACGTTAAATGTCTGGCTGGTGAGTCTTGCCCACATGCTCCGGGTTTAGCTGATCGCCATATTTGGGGTCGGGAAGGAATTTTCCTCCAGGGCAGATTGGCAGAGGCCCTGAAGGTTTTTCGCCTTCCTCTGCAGCGTGGGGCACAATTGCTGGAGGATTCTCTGCACCTTGAAGTCTTTAAACCATGATTTGAGGACTTCAGTGGCTCAGACATAGGTTAGGGGTTTGTTGCAGGGTGCATGGGTGAGATTCTGCAGCCTGCGCTGTGCAGGTCAGACTAGATGATCATGATGGTCCCTTCTGACCTTAAAGTCTATGGCTCAATGACTGTATGACATTTAGAGTGCAAACCTGTAAGGATAACTCCCCACATTCTAACCCCCGCAATGAAGCAAGTGGATCTTAAGGGCATTTAGTGAACCACAGGATGCACTCAGTCCCTCACAGAAGCAGGGTTTTACTTCCCAGTTCGACAAAGCGCTTAAACATGAATGAACTTTGCCAGTGCAACCCATGTTGACATTCATACATCGACCTCTGTGGTCCACCAGGGCCTGCGTAACAATGGAGTAGAACCCTCTGCGGTTTATGTACTCATATTTCACCAAGCAGGAGTCTATGTTCATGGACAGGCTAGAACGCTATTCCCACCAAATCACAGTGTCATAAATGGTGTTACTGTCCCCACAGTTATTCTGGAGGACCCTGCATGCCCCCTTTTCCCTTGGCTTATGAAACTGTAACCTGATTGCAGAGGCCCAGGCAAAAGGTTTAATTACACTCTTAGCTGGTGCATGCTTTTGGCAGACTGAAATCCTGCTGGAGGTATCTACAGACCAGTTTGGATGCCAGCATCATCAATGCTGTCCGCATCACTGTGGCTTGCTGTGCTCATCACAATCTTTGCAAAACCAGAGGTGAGCCATTTCCGCCTGAATGGACCTATGACAGGGAGGGGCCACTGAATCGGTACCCTCAGCCAGAAGGGACACCAACCACAGCTGGAGTTGAATGCACCCAGGCCACAGAAGTCAGGGATGCTTTGTGCTCCCACATTATGGACTTGCACGAACCAATGATGTGATGGGAAAGAAGCTCATTGATTGTGGGGGGGTTTCAGTCCTGGGGAGGAGTGGGGGTTGATTGCCATGCAATGTACTTATGAATGACATGACAACTTATCAAATGGGGGGTTGATTTAAATATGGATTGGTATAGCTAACTGTATTGAGGAATATGGTTTGCATATTAATTTCTAATGGTCCTTAATCATGTGTTCACCTTTATTATTTGAAATACACTCCGTGGGATGTGATGCAGTGATAGCAATAAGCTTTCTTGATAAAAAGCTTTATTTATAAATATGTATTTAAAAAGTTCAACTGCCCACTGCCCATTCACCCACTGCCAGGCAGGCCAGCTACCTATTACCACACCAAAACACAAGTAACCACAGAACCTCCTGCCGTTGTATGTCCTCTGGTCCCCCATCCTCTTTTCCCTTCTTTCCCTGTTTGCTGCACACTTGGCACTGGGGGAGGTGGGGGAGGTATTGACAGGGGAGGGGAGCAATATAGAGGACTGCATGGAGCAAAGTTGCCCTGCCCAGCTACTCATGAGACCCAATTGCACGGGCCACCTGCCATGGCGTTTTCCACGCTGTTTCTGGACAACATCTTAAGTTATCACAGAGAGGACTCAGGCTATGGTGTGGGTGATGCAGCAGGAACCGGCACTCTTGCAGCCATTAGTGACAGAGCCGGTTCCAGCATTTTTGCCGCCCCAAGCGGCAAAGCGGGAGGGAAAAAAAAAGAAAAAGAAAAAGATAAAGCCGCGATCGGCGGCACTTGGGAGGCAGCTCTACCACGCCACCTAATTCTCCAGCGGCAGTTCGGCAGCAGGTCCTTCCCTCCGAGAGGGACTAAGGGACCCGCTGCTGAATTGCCGCCGAAGACCGGCACGTGCCGCCCCTTTCTATTGGCCGTCGCAGGCACCTGCTTCCTTCGCTGATGCCTGGAGCCGGTCCTGATTAATGATATCAGCTGCTCAAACAGCTCTTTGTGCTTAACTATGTCTTTCACCCTTAGCTGCCTTTCATGTTCCAGGAACTGCAAAGCAAGTGCCTGCTCCTGTGCTGAAACCCTGTTCTCAAGATGTGCAGCCAGCCTGAGCCTTTCTGCTTGCCTCTTGCCATGCCTTCCCTCTAACCGTAAGTCCCTTTGTCTTTGATACTGGACCTGCTTGTTGGCCCTCTTCAGAGCTTCAACCATAAGTTCATCACGGAAACACTTCCTACCATGAAGGTACATTGTGGGGAGGGAGGTTATGGGGGCATGGCATTGGGGACTCCTGATGAGATGAGGGGAGGAAGATATATGGGGGCAGGGCAGTGAGGAGGGTTGTTAGGGGTGCTGATGAGGTGAGGGGAGGTCGGTCTATGGGGCAGGGCAGTAAGAAGGGTTTTGGGGTGCTGATGAGGCGAGGGGAGGTCAGTCTATGGGGCAGGGCAGTGAGGAGGGTTTGGGGATGCTGAGGAGGCGAGGGGAGGTCGGTCTATGGAGGCAGGGCAGTGAGGAGGGTTTGGGGGTGCTGATGAGGGGAGGGGAGATCGGTCTATGGAGACAGGGCAGTGAGGAGGGTTTGGGGGTGCTGATGAGGGGAGGGGAGATCGGTCTATGGAGACAGGGCAGTGAGGAGGGTTTGGGGGTGCTG